TGGGCTCTCTGCGTACCTATGACACTTTTGTGCTTGGCACATGGCGTTGAATATACATTTTTGCCATTTAATCTCACACCAGACCCAGTATGACGGACATTTTGTGCCTGATCTGCGAGTCTTGACTGTGCTAGTGCCTATCGCGCCTTGAAGAGTATTCAACATTGTTTGTCCTTTCTTCGATTGTTGGTTTTTAGACGCATGTTTCCATATCAAAATCTTTACAAACTTTGGGATTAAGCTCATCAGACTGGAACTGTTCTTGGCATGATTTCAAATGAGACGTTTCTCTCTTTTCTCCCATATTCTCCTGTTACTCTTTCGCATTCACCGCTTGCATTCACTTTTTATGTTTGTGACCATGCTCTTCAAAAATAAATGATAATGGAGGACGGATCAAAGTGAAAGTGGGGATTTTGTTCGAACTTGATTCCCGAAAATATGTTTCTGCTCAAAAATGAATACTTTTTTCAATCAGAAAAAATGGAAAGCAAAGCATAGAGAACATGGAAGTCAGGAAATCATCTGTTGTGTCACGCGCATTTTTCGGTAGTGCTGAGTCGAAAGTGACCCTCCGGTTGCTCACCATCTCAGACATCCCTCCGGACAAGACAACTCCTCCTATGGTTGCCCATTTGAGTTGGCCCGGGGCTGAAAAGTACCCGCCGTTTACTCTCGAACGTCATTTGGCCGACTTTGTTGGTCTATATCCGCGACTTGTCACTAATGATTCCCTCATCCGAGCACGTGGATTATTCAGGAAGCTGATTGCTACTTCCACCGTATGCATATTTGCACTAACACTTTGGGTTTCTCCGGAGCAGTCCCGTTCACCGCAATTTCCGAGCGATTTACCATATTTCTGAAGTGCTGTTTTCTTCACGTGATCCTTCGAAAATCAGGCATCGTACATGTTTGGCGTAGAAACAGATGTGGAGCAACTTAGAAAGCCCCAGATCGTAGCACTCACCACAATGTCTACTTTCTATATCCTGTCACCGTTTCGTTCAGCTGTAGCACCCTTTCGGTGCCTAACTGCCATGCCACCCATAGGAGGCACGAGGGCTGACCCAAGCCTAGGCAGGGGACACAGAGAGGCAGAGGTCGGGTTCGAACCACGGACCTTCGGTCAGTAAATTCGCGCTCTAACCACCTGAGCCATCTCGCCCCCATGTCACCGTTTCAGTCATTTCAGTGATCGCTTCGGGAATGTTTATTTTTCGAACTACCACCTA